CATGGTCACTTCCTGGTCCTGGCACATGGTCACTTCCTGGTCCTGGGCACATGGTCACTTCCTGGTCCTGGCACATGGTCACTTCCTGGTCCTGGCACATGGTCACGTCCTGGTCTTGGGCACATGGTCACGTCCTGGCCCTGTTTAGGGCCTCTTTCCCTTGTTCTCCTCTGGGCATCAACCCGTGAGCAGCCTGTGTGCCTCTCGCTGACCTTCTGTTGCCCAGCAGGTCCTGCTGGGGTCATCCTCTGTGTCCCATCAGTGCCATCACTGAACTCAGAACCTCACCATCTCACTATGCTTTTGTGCTTAGGGCTGGTCCTCTACCACTTGAGCCATACTTCCAGTGTGGCATTTTGCTAGTTAATTGGAGATTGTCTCACAGGCTTTTCTGCCCAGTCTTTGAGCCACCAGCAGGTAGGTACAATTTCAGTTCTATATTATTATTATTATCCTCAGATCTCAGCCTCCTGAGTTGCTTGGATTACACGTGTGAGCCACGGTGTCTGGCTACAATACATCTCCATCAATGTCCACCCATTGTTCACCCTTACCCTTAGGTTATATAGTTCTTAGGTTTTCCCCTGATCTTTAAACATAGCCCCATCAACTGTCCATTTACAATTTTCTTTGCTGTCAGTTGCAATTTCAAGCAAACTAACCCATGCCTAAAGCTCCGCTTACAACTGAGCGCCCTGCCTCCCCGGTGCTGGGCTCGCGGCTATACCCTGCTCCCCACTTCTCTTACAAACTGTTTTGAGCATTCTATATTTTGGTCTGGTTTTGTTTTTCCTTGACTCATTTAGGAACTCTGAACCACATTCCTCACCCAGGTTTTGTTTTTGCTTTGTTTTATGGTGGTCAGGAGGGACCTTGTGCGGGAGAAGCCAAGTCCTGCCCAGCCACGGAGCTCAGGGAAGAGTGCGGCTGCTGATGCAGGCAAGGCTCAGGCTCCAGGGCTGTGTCAGGCTGAAGGCTCCAGCACGGTGGCCTCCTGGCCTTCTCGACCACACTGCCCCCTGCCGTCCGTTCATGCTGCCACTGGGCCCTGAGCTGGACCACAGCTGTGACTCCCTCTCCTCTCCTCTCCTCTCCTTCCTCCTCCCCTCCCCCTCCTCCTCCCCCTCCTTCCCTCCCTTCTCCTCCTTTCCCCTCCCTTCCCTTCTGCCTCTGTCTGCCCTTCGGGGCTCAGCATCTTCCTTCCTGCACTGCACATTTCTGAAGCCCCAGGGCCCAGCCCCTGCTGGGAAGTGGCCCACAGGCTTGGAGTGACCTGGAGACCGTGGAGACAGTGCTCTTATAGGTAGAGGGTCCTCCTCCTTGCCTCACAGCCTCTGGCTGGGTTTGTGTCTCTTGCTGGGGTGGGTGACCTGTCTCTCCCAGTGCTGCATGCTTTTCTGTGTTTGTGCTAAGGGTTTGTTTGAGTGGGCTTTTTTTCCCCTTTACTTTTCTTCTTGTTGTTGGTATCAGAATTTGAACTCAGGGCCTCTTGCTTACTCCACCTTTCTTGGTGCCTTTCTACTATTTGAACCGTGCCTCTCGGTCAACTTTTTGCTGGTTATTTTGGAGATCAAGTATCTGAGACTTTTCTGCCCCAGTTTGGTTCAAACTGTGATCCTCCGGTTCTCAGTCTCCTGAAGTTGCTAGGATTATAGGCACGAGCACCTGCATGCGGCCTGTGTGCTTGGACTCTTGGATCTGTGTTATATACAGGGCTTCATGGATCTGAGGTTCCTGATTTCAGGCTCATTCACCAACAGTGGGACAAATGCCTAACTACCGTCCTGTCTTCTTACGTGTCTTGTGTTAATAAAGACTTAAAAGGAGATGTGATAAAAAGCTTCTGCACAGCTAAATCTATCGCAACTAAGCTAGAAAGACAACCAACTAATTGGGAAAAAATATTTACCAGCAATATATCAGACAAAGGGTTAACATCCTGTATATACAGGGAACTCAAGAAACTAATCCCTCCCAAACCTAACAAACCAATTACTAAATGGGCAAGGGAACTAAAGAGGGACTTCTCAAATGAAGAAATAAAAATGGCAAAGAAACACATGAGGAAATGTTCATCATCCCTGGTGGTGAAGGAAATGCAAATAAAGACAACCCTGAGATACCACCTTACCCCAGTCAGAATGTCCCACATCCACAAATCAGCCAACGACAAATGCTGGAGGGGATGTGGAGAAAGAGGAACCCTATTACATTGCTGGTGGGAATGTACACTTATACAACCACTTTGGAAAGCAGTCTGGAGGGTCCTTAGAAAGCTAAAGATTGACCTCCCTTATGACCCAGTCATACCACTTCTAGGCATCTACCCTGAACAACAGGAACCAATATACAAGGACACGTGCACCTCCATGTTTATTGCAGCACTGTTCACAATAGCTAGGATATGGAAACAACCCAGATGCCCCACCACAGATGAATGGACCCAAAAATTGTGGTATCTATACACAATGGAATATTATGCAGCCATTAGAAATGACAAAATAATGGCATTTGCAGGGAAATGGATGGAGCTAGAAGGAATCATGTTGAGCAAGGTAAGCCAAGAGCAAAGAGACAAACAGTACATGGTCTCCCTGATAAGTGGATGCTAAATCCAAAATGTTAGGTGATATGACAAAACTAACAGGACTTAAGAAACAAAGAACTCCCACTCATCTGGTCGAACCACTACTAAATATCCCCATGCTACTGATCACATGTATGGTGTATAACATGTGAGCACAGTTATATGTTATAGACTGTGATAGACAATTTGTTCCAGGAAAGTTAGAATGAACTTGTGACTTTAAATGAGCATCATTATTCCACAATAATGTGAAATTCCAGAAATTATGTAATCACTTAATCACAAAAAAAAGAACCTTGGGGAAGGGAGGGTGGGAGGGGATGATAGGGGGAAAACAATGAAGGGGGTAATAATGTTCAAGAGGAAGTGTACTCATTACCTCACTCATGTAACTGTAACCCTCTGTATAGTATCTTTACAAAAAAAAAAAAGGAGATGCGGTTCAATATCAGACCTCAGGGAATCAGTAGATTATAAAGTAAACAAATCTCAGAGTTGGTCAGACCAACAGCAAGAATGGATCACACAATCAACTAGTGATGTAGACACCCTAGTGGAAAACGAAGCATTAATCAAAGCAGCATCAAAAGCTTCAGCACTTAAGGATTCATTTATTAAAAAATTTCAGAGAAGCTGGGCATCGGTGGCTCAGGCTTGTAATCCTAGCCACTCAGGAGGCTGAGATCTGAGGATCGTGGTTCAAAGCCAGCCTGGGAATGAAAGTCTGTGAGACTCTTATCTCAATGAACCACCAGAAAAACCAGAAGTGGTGTGGTGGCTCAAAGTGGTAGAGTGCTCGCCTTGAGCTGAAGAGCAAGAGGGACAGTGCCCAGGCCCTGAGTTTAAGCCCTACAATTGACAAGGAAAAAAAAATAGGCAGTGTTCCCTGTGGAACAAAATTGTTTTTAAAGAGCCTAACAGAAAAACTGGGTAAGGATACCATCTTTATCAGTGGAAAGTCTTAGCATTATAAAAAGTTCATTTTTCTTATGTTAAGGTGCGTTGTTAATGGCTTTAATTATAATTGAAGTTCCAGAAAGATTTAATTTGGGAATGTCTCTTGGCCTAAAATTCTGTGTAAAAGCTGGGTGCTGATTGATGGTTCATGCCTGTAATCCTAGTTACTTAGGAGGCTGAGGTCTGAGGATTATTTGAAACCAGCTGGGGCAGGAAATTTTGTGAGTCTCTTACCTGCAATTAACTAGAAAAATGCTGAGAACAGAACTGTGGTTCAAGTTGTAGAGAGCTAGACTTGAGCAATAAAGCTCAGGGACGGTGCCCAGGCCCTGAGTTCCAGCCCCAGGACCAACACACACACACACACACACACACACAGACACACACACAGACACACACGTGTGCAATTTTTTTTGTCGGTCATGGGGCTTGAACTCTGGGCCTGGGCGCTGTCCCTCAGCTCTTCAGCTCAAGGCGAGCGCTCTACCACTTGAGTCTCAGTGCTCCTTCCATACACACAAAATTGAAAGCAATAAAAAGTCTGTCAAACATAAACGCTTTGTTTTATGTTTAAAGCTTTTTATTGAGTACATATTCATTGTTCGAGAGGTTTCCTCCTGACAGACATGACTTCATTTCCATACCTCATAGAGTGCGCCCTGCCGGGCTTGGCCCTCTGCCCCTCCCTCACACCCCACTTCTTCAAGCAGCGTCAGCAGGAATCATGGTTCTATTCTCCTCACACTTAGAAAGTAACCAGGCCATAACGCCCCTGTTTAACCTCTCGGTGCGTCCTCCCACCCAACAGAGCCTGTTTTACTTTCCTGTGTTCCCTGTCTTATTGTACAATTTTCTTTGGAGAC